AGTCGTCGGAGCTGGCCGGGAGGAGGGTGCAGGGTCGCGATGGTGAAGCGTGGTCGCAGGGCCGGGCCTGAGGCGCAGCTGTCCCCACGCTCCCCGCAGACAGCGTGGAGGATGAGTTCGAACTGTCCACCGCCTGTCACCGGCCCGAGGGTCTGGAGCAGCTGCAGGAGCAAACCAAGTTTACGCGCAAGGAGCTGCAAGTCCTGTACCGGGGCTTCAAGAACGTGAGTGGATGCGGTGAGGCCAGGACAGCGGAGCGAAGCTGCGGGGAGGAGCGGGACCCCCCCTCTTTGGAGGCTGGGGAAAGGGTCTCCCCCGGCTGCGGGAGTCCTCGGGAGGCTTTGGCTTTGGGGAGTAGGGAAGGGCGGCCTTGTTTCTGCCCTCACTCTCCTCCTGCCCTGCCAGGAGTGTCCCAGTGGAATCGTAAATGAGGAGAACTTCAAGCATATCTACTCCCAGTTCTTTCCTCAAGGCGGTGAGCGGCTGGCTCTCTAGGCTGAGTGGAGGGCAGGGTTCGGGAGGGCTGGGAGTGTGCAGGTGCTGAGGGACTAATCCTTCCGCACTCCGCAGACTCCAGCACCTATGCCACCTTTCTCTTCAATGCCTTTGACACCAACCACGATGGTTCGGTCAGTTTTGAGGTGAGCTGGGCTAGGGAACCCTACTTCCTGGGGCTCCAGGTCAAACCCAAAGAGAGGCTTGGGTGATGGCTATGTGAAGACACCGTCCTCCCTAATCCTTCCTAGGACTTTGTGGCTGGTTTGTCAGTGATTCTTCGGGGAACAATAGATGACCGGCTGAATTGGGCCTTCAACCTGTACGACCTCAACAAGGATGGCTGTATCACCAAGGAGGTGCAGGGCAGCTGAAGAGCTGGGGACCTGAGGGTGGGGCCAGCAAGGGATAGGGTCTGCCTAGGCCTTCTGGCTTGGAGGCCAGAGGCTCTGAGGAAGGATCTTCTCTCTTGGCCTAACAGGAAATGCTTGACATCATGAAGTCCATCTACGACATGATGGGCAAATACACATACCCTGCACTCCGGGAGGAGGCCCCGAGGGAACACGTGGAGAGCTTCTTCCAGGTGCTGGCATGGGGTAGGCAGGAGGGCACTGGAGTGAGGGAAAGAGGCCGGGAGCCAACAAAGAACTTACCTGAGTTCTGCCTGCCTCTCTCCTGCCCTTCCCTGCAGAAGATGGATAGAAACAAGGATGGTGTGGTGACAATTGAGGAATTCATTGAGTCTTGTCAAAAGGTACTGGCCCTGCCCTCCACATTCCCTTGGTCTGGACCCAAGGCCTGAATCAGTGATGCAGGCAAAAAGGCGCCTTTGGGTAGAGTACCTCTTCTCTAACCCAACACACCCCAACCCCATTCCGCCATGACCAGGGGAATATGCACTCTCTGGGAGTGGGTGTCTCCTTCTTGCCCCTCAATGTCTGCATCTCTGATTCAGTGTCCTCCCTGCCTCTGATAAGCTTTTTTTCCCCCCTTACTCTCCCTTTCGCCTTCCTTAAATAATGGCCACAGGATGAGAACATCATGCGGTCCATGCAGCTCTTTGACAACGTCATCTAGCCCACCAGGAAAAGGGGGTCAGTGGGGGGGGGTGGGCCCTGCTCTGCCCTCACCCTGCTCTTCCCAGGTCTGTACTCATCTGAGCCCTACCTTTGGGGCTGCAGGGCTCTGTGAGCCTGGGCTCCAGTGTCCACATCCTTGGAGCCAAAGGGGCCAGAGAGTGGACCTGGTGGGTGTGCCCAACTCCAAGCAGCCCTCACCCCCTTGCTGCCCGACACTTGTATGGAGGTGCCCCTGCTATGGGAATTGAATGCTTGCCCACTTCCACCCCCACTCTGCACACCAGGACACCAGATGGAATGTCGCCTGCTATGGTGGCTCCTGCATCCCTGGTCTCATATTTCCCCTCAGACTTCCTTCTCAGAGTGAGCTTCTGTCCTCAGCACTGCCTAACCTTTCAGGCCAGCCTGTGGTGTGAGGGGGACAAGAATGCAGAGGGAGGAAGCTTGGGCCTGAGCCAGTGATTAAGTTCCACATGTTGACTGTGGTTTTAGAACAGAGGCCTGGGCACACAGTGAAAGCTGAGGCAAGCTGGACTGTCACGCCCAAGTTCCACAGTATGCCACTCCAGGCCGTCAGAGTATGTTTCTAAACATTTCATAAGGCCTCATTTTAAAAATGTCCCAGAAATGGCCTGGGGATTTAGCTCAGTGGTGACCCGCCCACCCTGCAAGCAGAAGGTCCTGAGTTCAATCCCTGATACAAAGAAAAGTCCCAGAAATTCTCCATAACCTCCACAGTATCCTAGGAGAGCCCAGAATGAAGCTCCGTGGCTCACCCCTGAAATTTCTTACGCGCTCTGAGTGGAGGTGTTGATGGCAGAGGAATGTGGGTGGGAGATGTCCTGAGTAGTGGCCGCGAGGGTCCAGCCTGCTTTCCCTGCTCATTGCCTTGTTCTCATGGCTACGACTTGAGTTTTCATTTACCGTGTCCTCTAGACCTGGAGGCATCAAGTGAGTCGGGGATGTTCCTGAACTGGAGTCCTATCAGCCCTCCCAGTGGATGCCTTAGGGGGAAGGAGGCAGGCTTGGCATCATTACACGAGGGGCCTTCATTCCAACATGATCAGCCAAGGCTGTACCCTGCCCCACAACAGCTTCCTCAGTCCCCCAGAGGCTGCTCTTTCTTTACTTAGTCTGCCCAGAGACGCCTCTGGGCATAGGAGGAAGGCAAGGACCTGCAAGACCCAATTCCACCTCATCAGCACCCCTGCCATGCTGCTACCCTTTGATATGCCTGCTTGTTCATCAGCCAGAATGAGGGGATGGGTCCCCAGGGAACCCCTGTCAAATCAAACACTGCTGACTGATTAGCACTTCGGCTCCTCTGTATATTTTGTAACATAAGAAATATAGCAGATCCAATAAAACACAATGGCTATGCACTGGCTGCTGTCTGCTTTTTGTTCCTCCACCCCATGAATACTGCACAACTCTTAACTCATACCTGCAGTCTTTTAGAGCCTCAAGAAATTGCCTGTCATTTTGAGTCTGCTGTGTCTTAGCAGGAGCACAAGTTTCAGCTTCTAGAAGGGTTCAAAACACCTAACCCCAGGCCCGCAAAGAAATCTTCCTCCCATAACCTATTAGAAGACAAAGAAGGACAGGATGTTGCTATCCTAAGACTGTGCCAAACAAGCTGTCTCTTGGCATTCTTACGAACTAATCAAGAATTTCTGATTTACAGCTGAGTGCAATGATGCACGCCTATAATCCCAGCCGGAGCAAATTAGCAAGGCCCTATCTGAAAACAAAAATTAAAAAAGAGGTGGAGATGTAGCTCAGTGGGCTCAACCCTCAGTACTGCAAAACAAAATGTATGGCCCTTATTTCCCAAGTTTCTAATTAGTTTAACTTTTAACTTCAAATCTCTCTCTCTCTCTCTCTCTCTCTCTCTCTCTGTCTCTCGTTCTTTCTTTCCTGTACCGGGGATTGAACTTAGGACCTTGTGCAGGTGCAGTGCCACGGCACTAAATCCCTGACCCTACTGCTTTAACTTTAAACAAGTATTCTGCACTGCAGAGATTAAAAATGTGTTTTATAGACCTGTATTGTGAACTAACATAAGCCTACTTTTTTGTGATCTCTTCATGATCTTTTGGTGGCAAATATATGTAATAAATGGCGAAAAAACAAAACAACTGTTGTCTATCCTTTGGCCTTCTCTTTTACAGAAGTGGTGTCTTAGTCATTTTATTATCTCTGGAACAAAAAATCCAACACTCAGAATACACAAGATGATCACAATTGAAAGGGAAAGAGGTTTATTTTGGCTCCCACTTTCAGTCCATGGGCATCTGGTTCCCAGGCAGAAAGGGCCTAGTGGAAGGACCTGGGCAAAGGACAGCTGCTCATCTCTCATGGCAACCAGGGAACAGCGAGAGAGAAAGGAGAACTCACCCTTCCCGGTCAGAGCCCAGTGACACCTCTGCAGGCCAGGCTCTACCTCCTAACAGCCGGGCAGCTATGAAACCATAGACATCAGCATGGCGCCCCAACTACCCAGTCACTTCCAAACCTGGGAGCCTTTGGGAGGATATTTTATTCTCTTCTGGTGGCTCTGTTTGAGACAGGGTCTCACTATGTAGTTCAGATTGGCCTTAAACTCACTGTGTAGCCCAGGGTGGCCTCCCAAGTGGGACTATGGTGTGTACCACCACACCAGGTTTGGGGACATTTAACATCTAATCCATAACAAGAGGAAACAGGCTCAGAGGAGCCAAAGCATTTGCTTGAGTCTGGGATCAAGCCTAGACCCAGCTCCCCCAGGTCTCTGCTGGTGGAGATGTGTGTGAGGAATGGGTGCTGTGCACAACTGTGTCCTCCAAGGAAGGGACACTGACAGGCTCACATAATGCTCTCGGGTTGTGACTGCATGCTTACTGGGGTAATTGTTTGCCTGTCTTCCATACATGGTGAATTATTTAAGGCTCTTTGAGTACCTGGGCTGGGTTTTTTTGTTTTTGTTTTGGTGCCGGGAATTGAACTTGGGTCCTTGCGCTTGCCAGGCAGGCAGCAGAACCACTGAGCTAAAGCCCTGGCCTAGGGCTGGGTTTTTCCCTCACTATCCTATCTGCGGGGGCCTGGCATGTAATAGGCATTCAATAAAGGGCTGTATTATAGGATGCATAAGCATGATGAGTAAGTAGATATAACTAGGTCAGATCTGGAGATGACTCACATTTTAGGGTAGATCCAAATAAATGGAAAGCTGAAGTGAGGCTGAGGATCACTACTGAGGTAGAAGTAACCGGAGGCAGGTGCACAGGAAAGAAGGAAAGGGAAGGAAAGCCAGCAGGCTGGTATCCACATCATTTTGTTGGGGCAACTGGTCTGATTCTGACATGTCAGCTGCTCCATCTCAAAACACTCTCCTTGCCTGCCTTCCAGTATTTCCTCTCCTACTGTTTCCAGCCTACCTTTCCAGGTACTCCCCAGTGCTCCCTTGTAAACTTCTATTCACTTGAATTCTAAATTTTGGGCACCAAAGCTCATACTGGAGCCTCTTCCCCAAGTCATAGGCATCTATGCATCCCCCCCCGGGGGGGGGATTAAACCCAAGGCCTTCACACTGAGTACACCCCCAGCACTTTTTTTTTTTTTTTTTTTTTTTTTTTTTGAGATAGGATCTCACTAAATTTCTGAATTGCCCAGGCTGGCTTCAAGCTAGCGATCCTCCTGATAAAGCCCAGTTTAACAAGCTCAAAATGTTCAGAAAGCTTCCGGCCTTTCCTGTCTGTCTTCTCTCTTCTCGGTATGTAACACCAGTATCTACCTTCTTTCTTGGACTTATTAGCACCACGCTCTGACCAACTGAGCTAACCAGCCCGTTCTTGCTCAGATTTAAAACAACAACAAAACCTTTTATCTTTTTTCAGTGCTAGGCACAAAATCCAGGGCCTTCTGCATTCTATCATTTGATCATCTGAAGTAGCTCCTATTGCAGCTATTATTCATCAGATCACTAGCTTTCCCCCTTTATAGAACTTAGAAAGTGTTCATTTCTGTGTACATACTAAATTTGTTATTGTCTGTTTCTCCAACGAAACCGTGAATTCTGAGTACCCTGGGCCTACCCACTAGTGGTTCCTGTTGTAGACAGGTTGTATGTGGGGGACAGGTGGAGGTGTGGTATGGAGAGGAAATGTGTAGCAACTGGTGGCAAAAGCACTCTTCACTTTTGAGGAGAGAGACTGAGGGTTGCTCTTACTTGGATCACAGCTTTTAGTCTGGGCAGCTGAGAGTGGATGAAATTGTGGCTGCTGACTTCTTAGCAGTTGGCATGGTGTGCGGTTTTCTCTCTCTCTCTTTGTTTGTACCGGGATCGAATTCGGGTCCTTACACTTGCAAGGTATGCTGCAGAACCACTGAGCTAAATCCGCGGCCCGAAGTGTCAGGAGACTAGGAGCTCGCATCACCTGGAATGATAGCCTCCAGGTGCCCTGGGACCACAGTATCCACTGAAACAGGTTATGGCTCCCAACCACTATCACAGCAGGTCCAAGAAAATGCCTGAGTAGCAGCACACAGTAAAACTGGAGCTGCAGAGAGACGATTAGATTAGCATGGTCCTGTGCTACAATGAAGTGCAAAGTGTTGTTTTGTTGTTGTTGGGGACTGAACTCAGAACCGTGAGCTTGCGGGGCAGTGCTTGCGGGGCAGTCGGTGGCAACACTGAGGTAAATCCCCGGCCATTAAGACTTCCATATTAGAAAGAACGAGCAACATAGAGAAAGAAAATTGTTTCTAATCCCCATGGAAATAATCCAGAACTAAAAAGGACTGTAGGAGTCCCTCGAGTTACAAGCTGGGCTACTGCTAGAGTTAAATAGCACATCGAAGCACGAAAGTTAGAAGTACATTCCTCACAAGTTCAGACAGATCTCTGGAGCACCGGAAATGTCAAGTGTACAGGACATCGGAAGCTCCCAGAGCACACTGAAGGGAGCAGGGCGGGGCTGCTTCTAGGGCCCCAGAAGGCCCGAGGAAATGGAAGTTTATGCTGAGGCTGGAGCAATCTCTTGGCTCCTTAAACAGTACACTCCCCATTCCCAAACAAGCCACACCTTTCACCCCTCCCGATTTTCAGCCTGTTCTACAAATCTGGATTGTCCTGCTTAGTCTGGTTAACTTCTACTCATTTTTATAATCCAGCTCCAAAGTGAAGCAATGGCTAGGTCCTTTCCTTAAAATAGGAGTTGGTTATCTGACCTCACGAAACACTTGGATACACCATGCAAGAATTCTGCTTGTAGCCAGGGGTGGGATGAGGGAACCTTCTGAGTGGCTGAGGCAGGAGGGTCGCAAATTTGACCCCAGCCTGGTCAACTGAGTGACCCTACCCCAAATTAAAAAATAAAAAAGGGCTGGGAATGTAGCTCAGTGGAGATTTTTTCTGTAGTTTGGCTCATCACACCTGCCCAGTACCTTCGTAAATAAATCTAATTTTGTGTGTGTCTGTGCATCTCTGCCCACCATACTGTGAGCTCACAGTGGCGACAGGGTCTGGGATGAGGCAAGCTCGAGAGGGGTCTGCCGAAGGAATGAACGAATAAGGGCGTTTTAAAATGGGATTAGCCCCAGAGCGGGGAAGGGGAAAACGATGCAAGGCATAGAGGTTGGCTGAATTAGTTGGAAGTGTCCTTGCAGAACCGAGCCAGCGTCGGGCAGAGTGATTAGCCAAACTACGGCGAGAATCTCTACTGAAATTGGGTCAGGTTCTTCCTCTTTAAGAGCGCGAGGTCCTGTTTTCGCGCCTGCGCAGCGGCAAGGTAAACGCCTGTACTCCACGCCCTTCCGCTTCTCGCGGGGCCTCCGCAGGCCTCAGCCTAGCTCCGTCTGTCCCTACTTCGGGGGAGGGAATAGTGGCTAGTCCCAGGGTGTGGGCTCTCTCGGGAGGGGGGAGAATCTAAGTGGTACGGCCCCCTGCCTCCAGTCCGCGCGCTTCCCG